GATGCTCATCATTATTCAAAATACATTGTGAATTGAATAGAGAGACGATGATACGCGTACACCATAGGCTCACCGAATTATCGTTGCTCTGTTATTATTTTCGTTGCGAAAAAAAAAATGGAAACGCAAAAAGGATCGGCAAATCGAGAGACGAATTTTTGAAACTATCACGTTTTGCAATTTTATTCATCGTTGGTGGCGCACATATGTGGATCTAAACATGTAAACAGAAACGCATAGGCACGCACGCAAACCCATCCGATCGCCTTCATTTATGGCAGATTGGATTTGTTGCGCTGTGCTTTTTTTCATTGCCTCACATCAAAATTCATGTGTGTGTGTGTATGCTGATTCGTTGTGTGGCGCTCGGTTTTTCGATTGATTGGTGACTTTGCGCGCGTTACGTTCATAAAATCAAAATTGCTCGGGCGTATCAATTGGCTTCGGTGTGGAAACTACCGGAAAATAGACGCCTCGAATTCGAATATCCATTTAATCCGTTTCGTGTCAAAATCATCGGACATATCGATAGAGTGAGCTCAGGAATAGATTTCAGCTACATCCCATAGCACACAGCCACTACTTCGTTCGGCATTCACACATTTTCATTCTCATTCCGACACATGACATTTGTTACGGCTCAACATTTCATTTCACCATGCGCACGGTGCGGTCTATTCCGATTGAGAATAGATGGAGAAATAAATCTTCATGCTTTTGAACTTCGAGATTGAAAAGAGACGTCAACTTCTTTTTTTTTTCTTCTTTTTGCATTTCTTCTCATCGGATTCTGTTTTTTTTTTCCACTGCCAGGAAGCTCTATGGATTAAATTGAAGATTTATCGATTTCTCGATTTCTCGGAAAACATGATTGGATTTTGATTTGTTTCTGTTCAAGGACCATATTGTTTTTTATGGCATTCTATTCAATCTACTCATGTCGGATGACTGAAGGCAAATTATTACAACATTTTTTTCTTCTCTCAAACGACCGAAAATAAAAGAAAATTTCAAGAGATATTTTAAATTGTTTTGAAAAAGTTGTTCCGTTTTTCTGAAATTTCATTTTATTTTTCGATTCTCGAAAGAAACAGACGAATGGCAACTGGTTGTACTACATTACGCCTCAGATGATAATAATAATAATGATGTTGAATAGTTGAAAAAAAAAAACAAAAACAAAAAAAAACAACGAAAAATATTCGTTGCTATTCTGAACCGCGCTCACACACCAGTCTCTCACTCTCTTTCTATTATAATTTATAAATAAATATCAGCTACTAGTTTCGTCGCATTCACTGATCGATTCAGTTGTTCGGTCGTATTGTTCATATTCCGTATGCAATGTGGCCGAATAAGCGAAATAAAAGCCATGCACAAAATACGCTCTTGACTGTATGAATATCTAAAGCAATTCGCTCGGGGAGCGAGAGTGTATAAGAAGGACGAGAGGTATGAGTAAGAAATAAAAACAGCAACAACACACTCTCCGCTGATTCACACATTGAATCAACTATTCCGAACAAGTGTAAATGTGTATTGAAAATGTGTAATAACGAATCGAGTCCTGTCCGTTGGGAGACCAAAAAAAAGAAGAAGAATATCTTGTCGATACGCAGCGCGCGCGAATCGACCGCCAAATGAAAATTGAAAAACATTCGAAACTATCCCATACATTTATAATGCGAAAACTGACACAAACAAACCAAATGATAGAAGGAGAATAAAAGAACGGTGGCTTACGAGGACAACGCAAAATAAAATGAAAATACATAAGAATACCTCATGACACACGTACACGGACGTCTTATGTAGGAAAGGAAAGCAATTCGCGCTTACATTCACAAGCTCTCGTTTCCAAAATACATAGTGAAAATACCTCAACACAAGCTCTCACTCTATCGTCCTCTATCTTTTTCTCTGTCCCTCTCTTTCTCGCTCTTTCTCACTCTTTTGTGCTCCTTTTGCCTTTCTATCTTGCTTGCTCTCTCAACTCGCCACACCAAGCAATGGATACACCGCCGAAATAGCGCACACTAAATATCCAATGCACGAACAGGCCATTCAGCGAGACTGAAAATGACGACATTGCGATGATCAACATCGATGACAATATAATGTTTGTTTGAACTACAAAAACTCGGTTTCTTCCTTTGCAATACACGCACTCACTCACTCACTCGCACACACATACACCATTCACTTCGACCAGATCACAACCCATTGCTTTTTAGAAAACTTTAATCAACGTTCGTTTGTTTTGTTTTTTCCTTTGCTGTCGGTGACTTTGCTGTTTTCGTCGCACAATTTAGTCATATCTTTTCATCGATAAAAATTATTGCTTCATTAAAATACTTGAGCGTAATGGTCGTTTTAGCGTGAGCGCGATACTTAATTTTCGGTTGGGATAAATTTTCATGAATGCACACGCATTCATTTTATATATATATGGAAAACATTGAGTGTGTCTCTCTTCTGCGCTCTCTCTCTATCTCGTTCTCACTCGCTTTATCGCCGAAGTAAATAGAAATTCAACTCATTTTCTTTCATGAGATTTTTTTTCTTTTTTTGCTTTCTTGAGGATACATAGTTCGGGTCGTATATAATTTGTCGACGGTCTTTTTTTCTCTTGCTTGCTTGCTCCCTTTCTCACACAGTCGACGTGGCTGGGCCAATTTTTTGCCAAGAAAATCATTTTCCTTTCGCTTGAGTCGTAAAATTATTTGTTCAATCATATGTGTATCACAGAGTCGAATATGTGTGTTTTTTGGTGTTGTTGTTGTTGTTGTTCACTTTTTCGTCGTTGTCCGTGTGCTCGCACGCATTTGTGTGTGTGTGTGTGTGTGTGTGTGTGTGTATGAGATCGTGAGCAACACTAGCGATGAGCTCTAAATAAAATTGACGGTTTCATTGTATCACAGCAGAAGAAGCAACAAAACGCCGAATGAAAAATCAGCAGTGCTGCACATGATTTTCTATTTAATTCCTCTCCCTCTATATATATTTTTGCCTTTATTTTTCTCTCTTCTTTTTATTCAAACCACATTGATTCTCTTCGCATCAATAATTCGTTTATATACATTAATTTGTTGTAATAATTTCACTGTTTTCGTTGATTCATGATTTTTTTTCTTCCTTTTTGAATTATACACTTTTTTCGCTTGAAAAAAAAAATGGCTTGTTATCGATGGTACACCGTTATTCAGATTGTTCGGAAAACACCGAAAAATTTCCAACTTTCTTCACTTATTTTACTCTATTTTTATCATTTTACTAAACTAGCACCAACCAAAATTTGCTTGTTTCACGTCGTTTGATTTCAAAAAGGCGGTCGTCGGATTCGATGGTTAAACGAAAGAGAATTAAATAAACTCAAAGACAAAAAAAAAACACGAGGAAAAAAGGTGATTATTTACAACCGAATCAGGAATGAAACTAGGCGAAAGGAGCAATAATCAATGGCGAGATGATCAATGAAAAAAAAAAATCGAATGAAAGGAAAAAATAAAACCAAAAAAAAAAAAAAAATCGGTAGGGAGAGTAATTGAACGGTTTTTTGGCGAAGTTCGATTCGTTGTTGATTGTTTTTCGATTTTTTATTTTCGGTGAAAATCAACGGGCTTTTTGCTCTGGTGTGTGTTGAATGAAAAAAAAGAAGAAGAATTGATTCGTTTGGTTGTTCTTCTAAATTTTTAATCGACACTCGCTCATTGCTCTCGCTTTCGTCGTCGTTATACTGGGAAAGAGAATCGCAGACGTAGATATGGTACACTATAACCGTTGTCGTCGTCGTTTTTCACTTTTCATACACAAGTATATCGAATTCGATGTATATACACGGGAGCCACTATGAGAGAATATGAGAAAAATTGACGGAAAATCTAAAAACGACGAAGAAAAATCATCATCATCAACGGACGGTTTGTTTTTCATACGGTTCGTTCTTTTTTTCTTCTCTCTGCTCATTCTTTTTCGTTTCGTTTTTCGTCATTTTTCGTCATTTTTCTGTTCATCGATACACAAAACGCTCTCACACACACACACACACACACACGCTGCAGATCGCATCTGAATTGGCCTACATATGTGTAAACAACGTGTGTATATAGAGGAATCGAAACGCGCACACAGTCCCCCCCGCGAATGATACGCGAAATGAAAACATAAAGGAAAAATAGTATGCTACACTGTTAAGACATATATGTATATTTCGTTTCGGCTGTTTAGTTTTTCTCTTTCGATTCGGTTTTTATTATTAAATAGAGAAAAAGTGTGTGCGAGAGGATACACACATATACTCGTATTGTGTTTATGTCCCGCGATATCTTGAATGAAAATCAAAATCAGTAAAATTGTATCGTAAGATACACACGTAATAACGTGTGTATATGACCACGGGATGTGTGTATGGGCCATACATAGTATGGCACTCGCACATGCATCGCAACAATTCAAGCTTATCGAACATAATTGAATGTAAAAACACTTTTTTTTTTCTCACGCTCTCAAACGTTCGAAACCCATTGGCATCGCGAAAGCGCGATTCAATCCGAAATGCTTACTTCCGATGGATGGTAGCCACAAAACACAACGGCATTCCGTCTCGATGCGCGCGGACACAGTTTCACTTTGACACGAATGGACAAAGTATAAATTAATCGATTGCTTTCAAGACTCCGAACACACAACTCAAACAGAAAAGCGAAAAAAAGGTAGCAACAACAACGCACGTAACAACATGTTTGAAAAGATTAAAACGCAATGTCCAAAATCGAAGAAGAAAATAGAAGAAAAACGGTCGACCATATTGAATAGAAAATGAAGTGAATTTTATGGTTCTTGACCATCGAGAAATATTGCTGCTTGATTTTCCCTACAGACTCGCGATCTATTTATTCTGTATTTGCGTAACTCATAACAACAAATGACCAAGTCCATTATCCGTGTCACAAGTCATTTATTCACTGAAGTAGAATGGAACACGAAAAATGTCTACTAACTAATATATCTCTCTCTGTGTGCTTTTTTTTTCTGGTTCGTTCTCACTCACTTTCTTTCACGCTTCTGTTTCTGTATCACTGATTTTTCAACAAACAAAAAGATGAAAAATTCTTTTAACTAAAATTACATTCGATTTTTTGTTGGTGATCAAGAATTTCTGTTTTTAATTCGTAATTTTTCAATCAATTATTTCCACTTTTTGGTCGATAAATACCACAGCAGCAGCTGTGTGTGTGGTATGGCACTTTTTCTCTTCTTTGACGACCTAGTGCTGAGTGATGTGACGAGTATTATGTGCGAAAGCTTTTCCGTTTTTCGAACTTTCCATATTTCCACATCAGAATTTTTCGTGTTCGTGTGTGCGTTTTCCACTCTCTTGCTCGCTCACTCTCGCTCATTTTCCTCAGTCTTCGGAGAAGAATTGTATTGGATACACTCTCTGCTTTCGATTCGCCGCTCCATGCATGTGTGTCTCTGTCTTACACGAAACGGCCTCTCTCTCTCTCTCCTCTCGTGTACGTTCGGACGTTTGCAATCACGAGAGACGGAACATATACAGCAACAGCAACAGTAGCAACAGCAGCCAGAACAAAACAATGGAATGCGACTGAGAACGTAATTTTCAATTCACACTCACACACCTTCGCGCACGCACACAATCTCTCTCCATCCCATACACACACCGTATACACGCTCATCACGCCAAAACGGATTGTCAATGAAAACTGAGCGATTCAAAACGAATCGAGGTGCGCATGTGCACCAATTTTCCTTGCACATATCAAATTCCTTTGCAAACCAAATACTCGAATTACAGAGGCAAAGGAAAAATGCACGTGCGACTTGTGGATTCGAAACATTACGCACATCTCTCCTCACCATCAAAACAATGTCATGGAATTTACACTAAATGCCGTTTTTAGTTCGATGTACGGTTATTATCCAAACACGAAATGGCATGCAACGGACACGCAGACACACAGAGAGATAGAGTGTACAGTATTTGGAAAAACCTCTTCAAGTGTTCCGATTTGAAATAATATCAACTTTCACGAAATTCTATCCCATGATTCACAATCGATTTGTGTCATATTTTTAACCTTCTGCTCTTTGACCTTTTTTTAATAGAATTTTTGATGTTTTTGTTTCATTTTCATTTTTCTTCGCTTAGTAAGGAAACCCTTACCAAAACAAGTAAAACAAAAAAAGTGAATAAAAATGGAGAAAGTAAACAAGTGCATTTAAAAGTACGCAGCACACAAAAATTCTGCGCAGGAAAAGCCATTTCAAGTGCTTGTTCAAAACGAATTGTTTTGATAAAACCGAATCCCAATTTTAGATGTACGTAAAGCGATTTCAAATGTGATTAATCCCATCAATGTTTAAAGAACCTACCAGATGAACAGATATATCGTGTATGACGTACATCGATCTCAATCTATTGACACACCGCATGAGCAATACTTGAGAACAAGTCATTCAGCGTGATAATTGGATTTAACGAATTTCATTTCATGATTCCATTCGGACACCCGAATTCATTGATTAAAAAGTCGTTTTGAAATATCTCAGCGCAATTACTCGATAGAGTTTATCGACATGAATGACGCACATTCCGACGAATCGGCGCGTATTCCAGTTAGTTACTCTAGTCTCATGTTTCACAAACCACCACCATTCATAAGTGTACTTGTTCTAAAAAAAGAAACACTCCATAGTTATTTTCAGCTGTTACTTATGGTTTATTTATATTAAAATAATTTCGATACAATGACATGAGTATGATATTTTGTAAGTGTAAAAAAGTAGATATTCGTCTTCTTCTTTCATTCAGATATAAAAAAAAAACAATCTCTCCAGTATGTGCGTCATGACCTCCCCCACATTTATAATCCACTTTTGCCGCCACCGCCGCAGTCGACTTCGTAGTTTTCGTCGCAAGCACATACAATTATAGCCATAGATGTGAACAACATGCACGTCAAAAACATGAATTAAATGAAATAGCAATTACATCATTGAACAATTTGATTGAACTTGTTTTGATATTCTCAACGCAACAAATTAAAACTTCTGTACTCGTCTTGAACCAAATTAAATTTCTTTCTTTTTCGTTTCCATATTGCAACCTGTTATTAAAATGTGTAGTCAAAAGTTCTGGGTTTGGGCAATACAACAAAATTCAAATCGTTCGGTTTAATTCGATTTGATTTGCATAAATAATCAGCGGCAGAAAGTTTTTGTCTCGTGCGTCGATGACGGCACATTAATCGAACCAGTCTACAAATCGTCGTCATGATACGTCAATTTAATCAAAACCACTACGCGCAATTCATATATGAATTATTTAGCAGTGCGGGCTATTCTTGGATTTTTGGTTCCGTCAGAAGCAGCGAAAAAAATGAATCGGAACGAAAAAGAATTAAAAAAAATAACGAAACAGAAACAGAAGCTATATTTGTCACTTTTACATGTACTCTATTAATCAATGGGGTATTAATGTTTCGGAAAAATTTACATTCGAACTATTTTCATTTAAAGTTCTAAATTTATCGATTTATATGTACAATGTGTTTCTCTTTGTTGTTTTTTTGTTTTTGTTTGTGTATGCAATAGAATGCAATGGCTGGGTACTAGCCCCATTGTCTATAATCAACTTAGCGCCAGTCGGACAAATAGAAAAGAAAAACGCGAACAACAATTTCTCTTCGCTTTTTTCTACTTCGGTTTTTTTAAATGAAAAATATGATTTACATTTTTAGAATTATTATTCATGATTTGAGGATATTTCATTCATTTATTATGATGAGGTATGGCATTGTTTGTTACAATGAAGAAAAATGAGGCGATCACATTCAAGTGGATTCAAAAAGGCCGATGAGGTTAAATTGTGCGCAATTTCTCGGTCTCGATTTGTATGTGTGTATGTGTGTTTTGGTTGAGGCTTTTTTTCTTCGTCGTCGTCATCATCATCATCATCGATTTTGCCTTGGTGTGTGGCTTTTCTATTTCGTTTCGATATTTTTTTATTTATTTTGCTGCATTGCATATTATTCGTATATGTATATCAAATGCGGCATTCGACATATTCTTCCTAATTGAGTCCAAAATTTAAAAAAAAATCGCGCAATATTGTCTTGTTTTTTTTTTTCATTTTTCTCTTGACGATCTATTTTTCTTTCTATTTCGTTTGACAAATCCATGTGTAGTTGATCTACAACTGAATCCATACTACCTGTGAGTGAGTGTGTATATGTGGTACAATGAGCGTTATTCAAATGAATATAGGCATTTTTCGTTTAATTTAATCAAATTGGTTGCTTATGGTGTTGTGATATTTGTTGGTTGTAATGAAAAACTCAGACGATTTATTGCTTAAGTTTTTGGCCGTTTGCTCTGGCAATGGCTCAGATCATGTTAAAAAATCATCGGATGTCGGTGTGTCACTCTCTTCTTTCACGATTGACACTATCTCTGCTCGACACAATGGACAGTGTTGCAATTGCGATGCACATGTCATACAGAAGCCCCTGGAATTGAACAGACATTTGTAAATAAAAAATCGTTTCAAAAGAAGATATTCAACCTAAATGTATCATTTTCGAAACAAGAAGCATTTCAATAGGATCAATGCTCAACTGAAGCATTCACTCTTACCTGTGTGTACATGGTTCAAGTCGAACGATACCCTTTAAATCGAAACATAATGTACAGGAGTCCTCACGAACACTCAGCTTTCGCAACTGTTCGAGGAATAAGTGACGCGGCAACACGATTTTATCTTGATCTTTTAGATATGCGTGTGAGTTAAAGCTATCGAATGCACGACTCTTTGGCGGAAATTTGAATGGTTCGGAGCCAAAATTGAAACGACACTGCTGAAATGACATGCACGATGCGGCGGCAAAGAATCCATCTCTGTGGAATGAATTTTAATTAGTTTTTTTTTTCTCAATGATATGATTTGTTGAAAGATTATTCTTTCGAGGGATGATTTTCTGGTAAAGTCTCATATTTGTTCCAAAGAAATCAGTTTTGACCAGAAATAAAACCCATCGTGAAATGAAGAAACTTACTTGGCACTGCCAAAGACTTGTTTGAGAACACCACCTTCAACACCGTTCAAACTGAAAATCACTTCATGTGCATCTAAATCCAATAGACATCCAAGGACCGATCCACCTTGCCTAAAATGATTGAAAAATGAATTGAATTCAGTTGAGTCCAACGTTCTTTTCCAATTTAGTTCGTAAAACTCACCATGACGGAAGATCATGTGGTAGGGATTTTGCATTGTGCCAAATAAGCCGACGACAACCGTCAAATGCGATTGAGTAAGGATCGTCTCCAATACCGTATCCCTCCTAAAAAGATAAAAAAAAAAAACAAATCGTTTGAAATCCAATTTCCAATTCAATTATCTCAATGAATTGTTCTATGTATTTTTAACGGCAATCAATACTAACGTGACTCAAAAAGTTCGAATCCTTTGTTGCCCATCCAATTTGCATCACTCCAGGTGTGATGATAGTTACCTCGTAGTACCAACAACCGGCATTAACTTGATATGTGCATCGAACGCTCTCGAATAAATAGGCATCACAGCGTGCTTCCAGGCCATCGGGCGATATTTTCAAATACTCGGACACATCGCGAGTGTTCAGCATTACATTCACATTTGAAACATCGACCACTTCATAAGAATACTTGCGACCTTCGATTATAACTGTAATATAGGTAATTGTATGCAATGGTTTAAAAAAAAAACTGTTCCGTCTATGAGGCTTGTTTGCAAATGCAAATGTGCATAAATATTTACAGTAGTTGTCTAAGCACCATCGTGCGCAATAGCCAACTTGACGTAGAGTGTGGTCATCGCTATTCGCATGTCGTTCTAGTCTTAACAGTGGATTCTCCGTAAACATGGCCAATTTACGTTTAATGGTAGCTTTGTTTTCACTCTTTTGTGCAAATTTCTCCAGTGCAATGATCGAAAATAGCATCACCTCTGGATAGATTCCTTCGTCCTATGTTCGAGAAAGAAAAAAAATAAGCAATAATTTAATGATTCAGTACGATATTGCTTCAACTCGAGCTTTACCAGCTCAATTCAGTCAATTATTGAATGACGTTGATGCTTCGATTGTGAACTCACCAAATTTCCGATCAAATAGCTTAATGTGCTCTCCGACAGTACAGCTATACTACTTGGTCCAGCCAATTTCTCTGCTAAACAGCCCAAAATGACACATAAATTCCGTTCTCGTCGTGGTGTGCGTCGCAATGAATACGATATCATATCGGCTACTTCAAGAACTGAATCTTTCGTTGGTAATGGACTGTCATCCAGCAGCAAGGTTATCACACTTGGGCCCATCGCATGTTCGATTGGTACGACTCGAATCAGAGACTTGACCAATTGAATCCAACCATTCGGTTTATCGGTAATGTCATGTAATTGTACCTGTCAACATTGACCCAAATCAAAATTAGGAATCTTACGATACAAATGTCGAATTTGATGGATGAAAACCAGTGTTTGCGATATCGCTCTCAGCATCTCATAGGATAACTGAACGAGATAATTCAGCTGGCTGAGATGACGCAGCGACGCATCACCCAAATCTATCGCCCGAGTCTTTGTGATACACACACACACACACACACACACACACACACACACACACACACACA